CCTCTTCCCCTTGACTGATTTTGACTTGCCGATCTGGGTCCTCCACAGAAACAGACGCACGAACCGGCTCCGGCGGAAGCGGCGGCAGCGTATGAGGTGAAGCAGCAGTACACGAGGAATTCGAAGTACGGACCTCAAGGGGCTTAATGTGCTTGCGTTTGGACGATTTCTTGAGACGATCCCGGTTTTTAACGAAGAGATCAACAAGGGAGGTGGGAAAACCAATCTCCACCACTAAAGATCCGCCGTGTTTGGGAGCATGAAGGTCGGCGACAAGCTTATATATCTTGGCCACCTTAGCTTTCTTCCATGGAAGAGGCTTTTCATGGAGGAAAAAAAAAAAAAAAACTCCGAGTGCCTCCACCGGAAAGAAATCAGATGGGTTTTGAAGTGGAGAAGGTCACGGTAATGGCCTACATGGTGGTCCGAGCTTAATTATAAATGAAGCTGTTTGGAAATCAGACGGGGCCGAGTGGGAAGACGTGAGAAAATGAATGATGACAGGGAAGGAGACGCGTGAGAGAAATTCTGGGGTTTTACGGTTTTTTTTTTTTCTCTCTGTTACTTTCTGTTCTCAGTAATTTTTTTTTTTTTTTTTTTACAGTTTTAAGTTTTACTGGATTTGAGTTGTCAACTTTGGTAATTTTGTTAGGGTGTTAAATCTGTTAGGTAAAATTTTGTTTTATATAAAATTTTTGTATTATAATATATAATTAATTTCAACTATATAATTTATTAATTATATATTAATGGGTTATAACCCATTAATTAAATTCTATTTTTTTTTACTACAAATGATGAAAAAAATAAAAAAAAATTTTAATTTTTAATTTTTTACACACACACACACACATATATATATATATAGTATGTTTTTTTATTTAATTATTATAAATAATGTTTTGAAAGTAAAATTGAAATTCATTATGTGCAAGTAAAATGTACATCTTTAATACAAGCTCTTGAACTATACGAGATCGTATTGATTGACCGTAAAAGTTAAAATCCAATTCATAAATAAATATATTTACTATCTTAATTACTACGAATTTGATTAGTGTAGACAATATTATAAAAATAAAATTTAAATTTATTATCCTCGTGTAAAATATATATCTTTAAAATATTTGGATAAAAGAAATTTTGAAAGAAAAATGAGCCTTCAAGATCAAATTTTCTTAGAGCTTTAAGCAGAAAGTTTTCAGTCAATTTGGTAATTATTTTGTCGTAATATATTTTTTAAGCAGATTCAGGCACAAAATGTTATATTTTATCGTGAGAATAGTAATAATATATCTAACGATGGCGATGAAGACAAATTAGTAGTGACGACAATAATCATAAAGATGAGATGATGATAGTAGCTATAATAATGGTATTAAAACAACAATGGAAGTGACAACAATAACAAAAAGTGTGAATACAGTTACTCAGTACCAGTATTAACATACATAACAGTAATAATATCATTAGTGATGATCGAGTTTACAATGGTAGCAGCTGCAATAAAATGGTGGTTCGATGACAAAAAGGACAATGAAGAAAGCAACATCGATTAAGGATCAGTGAGAGTGGGGTGATAGTTTTAATGGTGGAAAGGCAGT